ATAACGATAAGTCATTTTAATCTTTCATAAATATTTATGTAATTATTTCGTAACCTAGATAATTAAGTATATCTGAAATTGAAATTTTTCGATCAATATTAATATTTGATTGATTTAGCAAATTTTTTACGAAGAATATGGTTTTAATGCTCTTGTAGCATAATATGCTGCAATATGTGGGTATCGTCCAAAACGGAGATATTTCAGTGAATATTAATACTTGATTGATTTTGTCTAAGATGTTTTATGGTATGTCATAGGATTTTGTAAAATTTTGACACGAATAATAATAATATAGTCCTGATATGTCATTGTATAGTCCTTCCTTCCTTAATACTCTATTAATTCTGCTCTATTAATTCTGCTTTCTGAAGGTAGAGGAGTACCTAATTTAGCAAAAATTTGCATCGGTTGAATATTTATTTTTATACCGAAACCGGTAACATTGTAGATCTTGATCCGTAGTGGTCAAGCCGGGTTTAAACGGCAGTCTTACAGAAATCAAATTAATGTCTATGAGATAAAAAAAATTGCAAAATCGAGAAATCCGCAAATCTTTAATGTCAAGTTTGCAAAATAAATAGCTTCCTTGAAGGAACTTTAAATGCGAAAGGACAAAGAATTTGCGAAGTGACAAAACAAAGAAAGTCATTTTATGATATTACTGAAAAGGATTAAAGATTATTATTAAAGTGGAATCATTTTCTCCATCCATTTAAGCAAGATGATATTATCTCGTTAAAAGAAAATGGTCAAAGATTTTCTCAGATATTTTTAAACGATATTATCAATGATTTACGAATTAATTACTTTTCTATGCTTAAAATATACCTACATAAAATATGTTTTTCGAATGTTTCGTTACACTATAATACCTTCGCAGCAGCAGGCCAAACAAGTTGACAATTTGATAAATAAAAAATTGGTTAGGACGAATGTGCAATTTTTAAAATGCTGGTCATTTCACCTTGATTTTTTAGTTAATACTATAAATGCTGATGATGCCGGCCCTAAAACCAGGAACAGACATACACGGTACTGTAACGATCCTTTACGTACCTAGTCACAAGAGTCGATGACACTTTTACAACCAAATCACATTATGAATGAATTACTAGCTTGTTGTGACGTACCTTTGTTCTCTCAAATAAGTACCTATCTCGAACAATGACAAAACTTTTCCAAAGATTATCCTCCACATAAAAACAAACATACAAAATCCGCTCTACCTTATCACAATATCACTGTAGAAGATTAACAGATTAAACCGTATAACAGTTATACTTAGACAATAAATCTTAAGCGGGTTTAATAATACGGAAGAGTTAAGTTAAAAAAAACTTGTTTAATTTTGGCTAACGCTATATTTGTTTATTTTTATCGCAGTACAGTCGACAGCACATCAGAGTACACAACGTTTATTGCAAAATAACCTGTGTTACAATAAGTTAAGACGCAAATGCGTTAAACTTGATGTGCACTTATTGGCGGGAATGTGAAGCGACATGTTAGCTGTTTATTTATTTTCTAAAATTTGTATTTAGGCGACTATTAATGGTGTATTATTAATCATTCATTAGTGTTCGTGAATGTGCATGAGTGTAGACAAATGAAACAAAACAGTGCAGCGTAATTTTTTGAATTCTCTCAAGTACTTAGTCCATATGAAGTCTCAGTAAAGCACCACAACTTTACTGATACTCAAGGGTTGGGAAGAGGTATCATCTATCATCCTTCATTATATCATTTAGTTAACCCAAGTCCCATTCCACTTGGTCCCACTTTATAACGCGACTCACTTGAAACTTGAAAATGGCACAAATCAAGTCGGCCTCGACGAGTATTGCCAACATCAAAAAAGAAGAATAACAAGAACCCACTAGGTGCCCTCGCAGGTAATATGACATAGGTACCTTACATTTTCCTGACGATAAAAAAACAAAAATGATGTGCCGACCGTACATCGGATCGAAAATGGACTATAACACTTGACCATTGCCTCAGCGATGTCGGATAGACTTCGTTGCTATTGACCCAATTGAGCGTCTGATTGCACAGTTCGTCGGCGATACAAGCACATTGACCCATTTTTAAACTTATCGGTGGAATAAACAGAAAATAAACTTATTTGGTAGATGAATGGATTATGTTGAGAGCCAGCCAGCGTGGTATTTCGGCATAAAAATAGTGGAAAACCTGCTAAAAGTGAAACGCGAAACTTCAAAAATAGTTTAGAAATTACGAAGTAATAAATTGGTTAGAACAACAATTGTATTTTACAGGTAGGCAAGCCATAAAAGGCACAGTTCAGTCACATTTCTTATTGTTATTTCAAAATGATTTAATCACTACAGTTTTACAGTTAACGAACCGTGTGAAAACTACGTTTAATTATAATAATAATATCATGTTAGTTTAAACCTTGAGTTTTATCAGCTTGGAACCTTGCAAAAAATATTGTTTCTAACAAAATCCTAAATTAACGTACATGAATATATTCCCAGTAATAAATTTATGTTATCTGTATTAATCTACGCTGTAATAACTGCCTATAATAACACGAAATTGGAATCAATTGACTTAATTAAATATTAAATACATCCTGTTATTTACATCCAATGAAGGAATTATTATTATGATCATCCCAACTAATATTATAAATGCGAAAGTAACTCTGTCTGTCTGTCTGTTACGCTTTCCCGCTTAAACCTCGCAACCGATTTTGATGAAATTCGGCATAGAGATAGTTTGAGTCCCGGGAAAGAACATAGGATAGTTTTTATCCCGGTTTTTGAAACAGGGACGCGCGCGATAAAGTTTTTCTGTGACAGACAAAATTCCACGCGGGCGAAGCCGCGGCCGGAAAGCTAGTAGTTCATAAAACAAATTAAATAAAAATTCTTGTCCTTTTCATCACAAGGAATGCCATCGTCATCTATCGTTAGTTAAGTAGTACTAGTGAAGATGTTTGATGTAAACTCACACTTAGGCCCAGAACAGACGGTGAAACGCAACTGCAACGAAACTGCAACTTTCTGATGATTCTGATGAATGAAACTGAAACTGAAAGTTTCAAACTGGTCGCGTCATGTGTGGTCTCTCAACGGACGCTATGGCAGAAACTTAGATGCAACTCAAAAGTAACTAGCAGTTGCAGTTTCGTTGCAGTTGCGTTTCACCGTCTGTTCTGGGCCTAAGCCCCCTGTTGGCATAAGTCCGCTACATCCAAGAATAATCGATTTACCCTGTGATATCATGATATCTCATCTCAGCAGGGGTACGCCGTGACAACAGAGGGCCCCCGCTGAAAATCAGTTTCAAGACAAGCCTGGCGGTCTTGATGTACGCTGAGCGGGTGCCTTTTTGTCAGAGGGGCACAAGCAGTTAATTGTCCACTTGTTTATTTCTCTCTGTTTTAATCTATGTCTTACCTGCTTGTATACCTTTCTTGGAAATAAAAAGTTTTCTATTCTATTCTATTCTATCTCATCTATCATTCATAATTTATTCCATAAATTGAACGACTATTATTTAAACTTAAATATCAACAGCTTTTAGCACTGTGAACTGAACTAAATTATTTAAATAAATGACGAAATATTGAAGTCGGTTAAAATATGCAGCTAATAAGCAGGTACCTGTAATAAACTACTTACTTATTGCATTGCGAGTGACAGCTTTGTAAAGACTAAAGACGAATGCATTTTATTGAGTGGATTTACAACAGGAAGCATTGTTATTAAAATATAATTTAATTTTGCAAAATGTAGACCTTCAAGGTATACAACCTTCACTAGATGGTGTTTTTATTTTTGCAAAATTGCACAAAACTTTAAGGGTCCACTCATTTCAAGTAGGTACCTACTTGTGAGTACTTTTCAATCTGTAGCTAAAACGTAAAGCATTTTATAAAGCCTAATGTAAAATAACTTTATGATTAAATATTGTACTTAATAATTTAAGATATTACACATTAATATTTAAAATACTTTTCCTGTTAACAGGCGTGCTCTTAGCTTCTTTCAACTTCTTAACAACATTTGACAAACTTACGCTTAAGACAACAAATGCAAGTCTATGAGGGCAAATTGTTTCATGACATCTCTGACTTGTCTGTCCTGTAACTAGACTATTCCCACCTCTCGTTCCCACCGCTGCAACTTCTGTGTAGCCAGGATCTGCAGCTTGACCGCCAATAAACCCAACCAGTGAAGGTCAAGTTTGTACCGGGTCGGGGGAAAGTTAAAGTGTCTGACCCTGTAACTGAACCGGGAAACTCTAAGCTCGTGAAACCGGTAACTTGAACCAACAGAGAAATGTATCAAAACATAGACTGACCTTGAGTTTAGAGAAATAGTTTATTTTTCATCATTACTCTCATTTGATTTTATCGATTTTTAATAAGATTTTTGGAGTATGCTGAAGATAATTATAACGTGAATTTTGACGTCCGAGTCTAAGTCCCAGTCAGAAAATATTTTTAAATTTGTTGTTATGACCTCAAATAAAAGGGGAATGGGCTAGGCAAAGAAGAAGTATTAGTGTGCCTATCACATTGATTCATTCATGTATCAATAATAATCACATTTGATTCATGTTCATTGTTCACACTCAAGATCAACTCACTCCAATTCTGGAAGAAATATATCAAAAAGTAGAATAGAATCAATCTCAAATGCATTTTTGATAGCAGGAAAAACATTATTTTGAGTTTTTTGTCATTTTTTTTATTTATCATCCATACCTACTTAGTACCTAACTGACAATATAAATAAATTTAACCTATGTATGTATTAGGTATTATGTGAATAAAAAAGGTTAAGAATGAATTTATTGATTCATAATTTGTTAAATTGCTGTGGTTTAAATTACCTAAAAGATATGATAACCCAGCTATGCTAAAATTTAAGTGCATAAAATCACCCACAGATAAGACAGTGATCATTATATCGCACCGTGAACGTTAATTTGCAAAATGTTATTAAAAATGCAAAACTCACTTTTAGAACGCAATCCCTCGGACACTTTCATGGTTAGATTTGTAAATTCAATGTCAACAGAACTTGACGAAGGCATATTCACTTGCAGCGTCCTGCATTCCCGATGCTCTTTCCCGCGCACTTTCCTCCCCAAACTTTGGAGCATTGCGAACGCACTGGCCATTTTCACAAATCACAAAACTAGCACAAAAAATATTAAAAAAACATAATTCGAATATCTGTTGTGTCAAACTCAAAAATTAAAAATAAATTTTTCGAAATTTTAAAAAGAGAACGTTTTAGTTTTCCCCCGCGTTCCGTTTCAACGAATACGCGCGGTGTGCGAATCGCCACGAGTATCGCATGCGACTGCCCGCGAGTATACTCACTCACAAATTCGATTAAAAACTTGTAACGCAAACTAGGCGATGGTGACTAGTGCGATGATTTTATAATTGGTCATTATTCTGTAATTACGTATCGAAGTTAATCATAATAGGACTATGTAACATTTGTTTGATGTCTACTTTTTACGAGTTTGTGTCCATGTAAAATTAGTAAGAAAATATTTGAAAATCCAATTTGAATTACCGTAAAAATAGATATATTTTTATATTTTAATAGGCGATTTATTCTATTTGATACTATCAAAATATTTAGTTAATATTTTCGGAATTTCCTAATTAGTAATAAAACCGGTACATTATAACAGTACATTAAGGTGAAGAAATACCGTACCCAGTCCAGTTATTTCTGAGTCAGTATTATCATCGTGAGGAATGTAACGCCACAATAAACAATTTATTGTTCTAATATCAGCACATTACCTATTTGTAGCCTAGATCGTATTAATGTGGCCTATTGATCATTCAGTATTTACGCTAGCCTAGGAAATTCTAACTTATGTAAAAAAACTACATAATATGCTATTTTTCTTAGGCATTGTTATGAAGAGGAAAAGGAAAATATATTCATATTGCACACTTGTTGGTTGTCAAGTGTGCGTAATTGAGAAGTTACTTAACGGTAAACCACTCCATAAAAATTACCATGAAAAGCGTGTGCGTGTTTCACTATATGTTTATCTATGCGGCCCTCAGCAATTTAAGGCACGGAAGAAAAATTATTTATTTAATTAGTAACATTTTAAATATGATTATGTAACTTATTATTATTATGCATCTACAATAGGCACGGAATAACACACACATTCACAGCATAAGTAAATACCTCCTATACTCCATTTACATTAGCGTATTGGTATTTGTATGTAACGCAAATGTGTTAAATCGCAGAAAATATGTTTGCTTATTATGTACTCACATAGTCTTTCTTTGCTTAGTGAATTATAGCACAAGTAGCAAAACCGTCGCTAAGCAAAATACGCATAAATTCATTGACACGTTTGCCGACTAAAAAACTTGTGTTTCACACGACTTATTTTTTTCCTATTACAGACCATTTAGTAGTAGTACAGATGTTACAGTCAAAACTCATAATCGGTCAAAACTACTTTTAACTGTAAAAATCAGTCAATAGTGATAAATATTGACCAAGTCAAAACCACTTCTGACTGATTTTTACAGTATCATGAGTTTTAACTGTAACATAGAATAAGGATTCTCTAGATAGATGCAACACGGCTATATTGTTCATTTTCTACATCAACGTATAATTTGGTCCTGGACGGGCAATTACTTAGCACGCTAAAGTTATGGTTCCCACAGCAATCCAGTTTCATTGCGGGATACAGAAATGCAGGATCCCTTATAACTAGACTTTCGTGTGAACACATAAAAATATTATGTACGTACTGTATTTGAAATTCAAATTACAAATTCGAATGGATTGGTTTTTTGCGGTACACTGTGAACGTTAATGTTTTCAGGTATACCTACTATACTAAACGGGATTTTGCAAAAAGCAGTAAACGCAAAAACGAGATATTTCCGTGGGAGCAAGCCATGTACAGTAATGTACGTACAGTCATTATTTACATGCACGTGCACCATAGTTATACTCGTAGTCGTAGTTGTTGCAATTCATGTAGGCGAGTGAGCTTTACATGTGTGGTGGCTCGCTACTGTTCGTTTTTCCAAAGTTTTGATAGACATTACACTATCGTTATGTGCATGTACATGTACACACAAGTAAAGCCCACTCGCCTTCATGAATTGCAAGAACTTACAATGATTTGAAGTAACTAGCGCACGACCGCGATGTGAGTAGTGACACAATTTTAATCATAAATAGCTTGTCTAGTCACTCAATAGTTTGGGTTTGGATGATAGTTACGCTGGTTACGCATCAAGAGATAAACGGATTTGAATTACAATCTACATTTATGTGCCGACCAAATTTTGTGTAACAAACAACATGTATTAATAGGATTTTCCATAATATGATAAACAAGGAAAATGGGTTTTCATGAGTACAGAATACAGTAGTTAATATTTAACTAGTGACCCGCCCCTGCTTCACACAGGTACAATGGTATTCTACTTAAAAAATTCATCTTGAATCACTCTATCTATTAAAATTTTTTTTTTAAAATCCGTTGCGTAGTTTTAAAGATCTAAGTATACCTACATAGGGACAAACAGGAAAGCGACTTTGTTTTATAATAAGTATAAAGCGTATAAATAACTTATTCCGCATTGTAAATGTGGAAATTAACGCCCACGCCCTTTAGGATCGTATTTATAATTGACGCTAAATCTCGATTCGATCTCAAGCCCATATTCAAAACAGCTGGTCTATGCTTTATTTTTAGACTTTCAGTTGAGTGTGTGTCGTCCTTTTAAAGTATTATAGGTAGGTACTCGTAATTATTTCTCTTTGCAACGACACACTTTCGAAGAAAAACCAAACTTGTATAACAGTAACAAGTCCAAAGGATCCTCGTTTTCGAAAATAAAATTGTACGCCATCGCAATCCTGTTCCTGTGTGACAGTAAACTAACAGCCTGTTAACCATCTAACGGACCTAATGAGCAGCAATTAAGTTTAACAACGGATTACGGATATTTAACATTTGTTAGAACATGGTGGGACATTCAATAATCTTAACAGTCTGTTAAATGATTTAACAGGGGTGTTAATATTTAACATTGTATGGTGAAACTGGGTCTTAGTATCGCACAAATTCGTGGAAATTCTGAAAACAAAATTGTCAGTCGTTTATTGATTTGCAAGATTCCGAGTTAATGCATTAACTAAGCGATAATAACTCAACTTTATTATGTATCTAAGCACATATAATAGGTATAATGTAAATGTGAGTCGCAGTATGACCTGGATTATCGGAATCGTGTCACTTGTTCAAGTCGGGAGACCTCCGGGCAGCCGATAAGTTAATAGAAACACTATTAATTAATTAATTATACACGATGTCTAGGTTAGCGTTCCATTTGATCCGGTTTATATTAAACTAGGCATCCGCCCTGACTTCGCATCTAAACCTCTACACCTTCCTCCTGAATCACTCTACGTACTGATGAAAAACCTTTAAAAGAAGTTGCTTAGTTTAAAAAAAAAAAGGTTCAATGTCTAATGTCTTTTTGTCGGCCGATAGTTGGGTTGGGCTAATTCATAATTTCGATAATTCAATATCTATTGGTATTCTATCTATCGGTTTTATTTCAAAGTTTTAGTACACGTGTAGGTTTATTTATTTTTAGCATATAATCATTTTAATAAATAATGTTGTATTATAAATGTCAATTTGCCAAGGTTTTGTTTATCTTTAAATGCTCCACGCAAAATGGTAATTTATAGTCAAAGTTACATTGATTGAGAGATTGTCACCTTACAGAAAGGAATGTAATGAATTAACAATAAGGACAAGATACAAGTAATGATCAATATTGTTTACTAAAATGAGTACCTAATTAATAAAATTATAGACGTTTCATGGACAATGTCAGCCATATTTTCAACTTTTCACTAATCAACTGAAAGAAGTGTACAAGTGGTATAAGATTGAGAAAGTTTTATTAATATTCGTGTGTTTATAAACATACTTGCGAATTTCCTGAAACCAAAACTATTTTCTTCATACAGTGAGCGAGGCGAGGAAGCGCCTGCGTTTCGAATTACAGCAATGTTATTGCTTTGTAACAAGCAACATCACTTTATCTCATGGAGTACTAATGCGCCACTTCTGTAGGCCTAGGATGCGCGCTCCGATAAACGTTTATCACGTAATTTTATCGATTTTACGCGATAGGCCCATACATTTGTCGTCCAAAATCATCGATAAGATTTTATCACGGCATGCATCCCGGCCCGGTTGGTAGAGGCTTTGATAAATCAAATCTGCTTAGATTCGATAAACAACTATGTATACGGGAAACTATCGAAAAGGAGATATTATTTGCTAATTACAAAGTGACACATGAAACATCAACATCGTATTTTGCTTTGGTAGTAGTAGGTCAAAGTTTTGGAGGTACAACTTGGAACAGGGATTCCTCATAAGATCTAGGTCCTACTACAAACTTCTCTGAAATAGTTTTTTACATAATACCAGGATTATATGTATTATATGTGACCAGGCAAAGGCATAAAATAAACATAAAATAAAGGCCTACGATGTACGATGTCGTTGTTTTTCATTTTCATAGTTTTTGACTGTAAAACTAACGAGATAAAATAACAATTATAGAGAGATTTTCCTTTCATAAGTTTTGTGGCAAAGGTACCTCGTCGTGCGTTGCGCAGGCATACAGACTCTACGAATCTCAAGCTAACATCATCGTCCTACCTATCTAAAACACTTAGGCTGGGTTGCACCATCTCTATAACGTCAACAAACAAATCTCAAAAATCTATCAAACAAAGAACACCGGTTAAAGTAAGCTAGAGCAACTCAGCCTTTAAGTAAAAAAAAAAGCTTTTTTAATTAATTCAAAATGCCATTCTAGGTATCATAGATTTGAAAGAGAATCTATGGCGTCATTTTTTCGCTAACTAAAGTTATGTCTGGGAATTATTGGTTGATTGATGATGTCTACTTGTACTTAACTGTATTATGTACCAAAACGTTAACATCACACGGCGCAGACATTTTGCTTGTATACTCTCCACGGCGCTAATGTTCACACTTAACAATATGATACTAATTTTAGATTTATTCTATACACACACACACACACACACACCTGTTTGATCGTTTCAGTCGAAGCCATGTGGGCAGGCCACCTACTAGGTGGACCGACGATCTGGTGATGGTCACGGGAGGTGCCTGGATGCGTGCGGCGCAGGACCGGTCTTTGAGGAAATCCTTGGAGGAGGCCTTTGTCCAGCAGTGGATATCATTCGGCTTACCTGTTTAGTTTTGTGCTATTTCTAAAATAAAGTATTTATTTATTACGTCTCTACATCTTACACTTGGTGTAAGACTTTAAATATAAAATATCAAAAATTTGGTTTTCGAAAACTACTTCACAGTTTCAAATAAGCGAAAAAGGGCTGACAATTTTCGATTGAATCTTTTCAGTGATTTTAAAATTAATATACTTACTTTCAACTAAAATAGAAAGACACGGGTCTTAACGCGACATTTATGAATGAGTTTTTCTATTTTAGTTGAAATGGAACGATTATACTTTCAAAATGTAAGTCTCTATTACTCATCAAAAATCTACATATAACTAAATTAGACATGAAATATTGTAAATGTAGAGTACATATTAAAGAGTTTTTATTTGACTATCTAGGTAACTTACATATTATAAATGGTAACTACTTCAGTTAAAAAAAAAGTATTTACAAGTAATAATAATATTAATGAAATGGTTGGTACGACAAGTTTACTTATTATTTAGGTACGCACTTTCCCAGTTTGACGTCATCGTATTTAACGAGCATATCACATTGTTGTGGAGCTCAGCTGTACAGCAGATAGTATTGCTACTATTTTTGTTTTGCAAGAGAACTGTACTGTTTTTATGCTTTTAGCATGTTATGTTCGCGCCAATGGAAACTGGCAATTTTTTAAACAAATAAAGCTGAAGACCTTGACATGTCTACTAGATTCTAGTAAACCTTCCTTTAATTGCAAAGCAAATATAATTCAATTCAATTTTCTTCATTTAACACAACTGTGATCTACATAATATGTACCTAATGTATGGCTATAGTTTAATATCTGCTTGAGTCAGTTTTTATTGAATAATATCGATGTTTAATCTAATCTGACACTGTCAGTTGTGGTTTCTTGCTTGACTCATTAATTATATGCAGTTAATTAGCATATTATTCATAGCTACCCGAAATACAGTTAAATTTTGAAGTGAAGTCAAAGATCATGTTATGTACATAATGTCTTATTTACGTACCTACTTAGTAAACAAGATGTGTGATAGTGATCGACATTACGACATCCTTTGTTGTGTTTTCTCACAAATAATAATGTTTGTGATAAGGAAATGATTTGGTATTCGGTAGACCGCAAAGATAATTAATGGTACAAAGTAGTTTGATACTCGTTGAATTTGTTTTGTTTTTAATCCAGCGACTTGACCCACTTTTGACTTGGTCCACAGGCGAAGTCACCGGTCTGCATTTTTAAATATTTTTTTTCTTTCAGCAATGTTCCAACTTTTGTTCAATTGGCCCACCATCAATAAATAAACACCAAATCAACAAAAATCTACTCTACAATCCAGCGTTGCCAGACGTCCCGATTTTGGCGGGACGTCCCGATTTTTTAATCAAATTTAAATGTCCCGCGCGGGACAGGCTCGGTCCCGTTTTTCGGAGAGAAACACTCACTTCACCAGACTATTGTTTGAAACGCCATATTATATTATTTCTTTTTTTTAGTCTAAAGACGAATTTAATGATAGAGTAAATCTGATTTAAAATACTATTTTTTTGTTAAAATACATTTTCTATGGCTACTTTTGCTATCCATTGTCACGTAAACGTAATTTTAAGTCAAATAAAAAGATAAATATTTGAAAACCTTTGATTATTATACGTTTTTTTACTATGTCCCGCTTTTGACGGAAGAATCCCGCTATTTTCACTCAAAAAGTACCAAAGTCCCGACTTGGCGAAAAAAAAACTGGCAAAGCTGCTACAATCTTAGAGGGGGCTCAGTTGCTGGAAGAAAAAATATTTAAAAATTCAATCCGGCGATTTGTCCCGTGGACCAAGCTAAAGTGGGCCAAGTCGCTGAAAGTCTCTTTAAATAAACACGATAGTGCATACCATAACCACAGATAATATATGTATATCCAAGGATTAAATGAAAAATATATATTAGTGTTGGCCTGTTAAGTATATTTATTATGTTTATGAGATTTACAGATTAATTACAATATTATTTTTAGAATTATATAGGACAGTACTGTAAATCACATGAACTGTCTGAATATATTTTTTTAAATAGTAGTCGTAAGTCCTAAATAACTATGTAAAATAATTTTCAGTCAAGAAATAAAAGCTATACAGGGTGGAAACGATAAGTGATCTCACTCGATTATTTCTAAACTATACAAGATATCGAAAAACTGGTTAATGATCCTGAAAGTGCTTCACGAGCTCTTTCAAACGGTATTAGTAATAGGTTATAGAATTAACTGGATCTATCCGAAAATTCAATGTGGAAACATTAGCCGGAAGGCTTCCATACATTTTTTTTCAATCGGTTTTTGGATCTCTTGTATAGTTTAGAAATAACCGAGTGAGATCACTTATCGTTTCCACCCTGTATATCTTAAGTAACATATAAAATATGTTATTTAGTAACGTTTGAGCTACTACTGTGGTGCTACTATGAAAGACATTTACCGAAAAGATCATTATTTTCTACTTATCACTAATTGAGAACATGAAACAATGTGTTAATTAAACCTAATTACCCCGATGCATTATTACCATATCAACCGCAAACGTTTGTTTTTAAAAACAAAAGTCATCTTTCGCGTGTAAGTAGCGTCAACAAACATCATTGTTTCGGGACAAGGAATAAAGCGCATTGTCCTGATGAATATGTCGTCCAACACTCATTTACGAATTGCCTTGCATATCATACAAACGTGCAATTACTTGGCGGCCCGGACAAAGGACTGATAGGGCGGCGCGGGCGCATTCGACGCCGCGTAGTGGAGGCGCGCGCACGCGGGTTGCTTCGCGAAAATGATGCTTGCGGGCGCGGAGATCGTTACGGAGGACGCGGGCGCGATGCCCATGGTCCCAGCTGGTCCTTCGGGCTCCCAGGCCTCAGAGGCCCCACAGGCCCCACAGGCCAAAGTGCAAGTGCAGGACGTCGGCCCGGCCCCCACCAGGGATCCGGTAGACTTACACTTCTCCAACATCACTTGCACCGTCAATTTAGGATTCAATAAGGGTGAGTTTAAACATTTTGTTTGTAAAGCTTCATTAAAGTATCCTATAATAATCTAGAACAGTTACTCATAAGTCTACAAAACCTGATTGAAAACAATAAACCGTTCAACCACCTCACAAATCAAATAACACCTGCTAACAATATGAGTAGAGATACAATATAAGTACTCGTACAAAGTTATATGAAGATCTTGTTTAACTGCACATAAAATTAACTAGCTAATACTATGTAATTACGCTAGCACGAGATTCTCCCTGTACGAGTATGTACGTACAGTAATCTAAGGCCCGATTCGACCAAACTTTTATCCGAGAATAACTCTTGGTATAACTTGCACATTGACAGTTTCAGTATGGGAAATATGTCAAGATGTCAAATAACTGACAATTTATTCTGAGATTAACATTTACTCTTGTTTGGTCAAATTCACCCTTAGTGGGATAGGATAGTCTTAATTGGAAAAGCTCTAAGGCGCCCTTTTCAGGAATTTCAGGCAAAAGATTCAGATTTTTTTTTATTTACATGTTGTAAAAAGAAAGAAAATACGACATTCAGTATAGTATTTAAATAAATACACACTGTTGACATACGCAACAGTTTAACGGCATAATTTACTGATACGACAGTATTTTGGAGAAATTACGCAAATCAATTGATAACAAAATGCTACTTAGAGGTCTAACCTTAAATGTAGGTCATTCAGTTGCGTACGTCTTTATAAATAACGAAACTTTGTTATTTATCAGCCACGATTTTATTATGTTCTCATCACGCGTATTAAAACGATTTAGGTGGCTAAAGATAATATTAGTCAAAATCTTATCATGGGACCGATAGTTCACTAATTAGGTGGGGGTTACATAGCAACGACATTATAAGATAATATTATAGTACACTAATACGAATAACACAGTAATTAAGCCTTACAAGGTTCAAGAAGTTACCTACTTGGTACTTTAGTTGCATCCTTCGTGATACTACAATTAACCGTAGTACATAACAAGTCAATTATGGCATGTGTTTAAAAGTATATGATTAACTGTTAGTGTACGTTGATCGACTATCTAGACGTTAGGCACAGTTAAAAAAAGATTACTTATCTACTTTCCGTTGCGTAATAGGATGCATCTTGGCATAGTCTAGTATAGAGTTACGTTCTGTTCAATGACGCGAAACTTTAAATCCATTAAAACAAACAAAAATGCAAGAAAACATTAAACTGTTTACTATTTATTTTCCAAATAAATAACAGTGGATCTAGACAAAGTGCACATTACAATCGCAAACCAGTCGAAAAGTGATTGAGTCGATTTTCGATTCGATCAAAAAGTGCAACTTGTCCGAATTACCTTAATTATTATGAAGTAATTTTCTGGTTAGCTGGAAGAGAATGCCACATGGCATTAAGCTCGCCTGTTGTACCACTGTTTTTTATGTGTGCAATAAAGATTTTAAATAAATAAATAAATAAAAATTTCAAGTATTTAATTCAAATTCCAAAGAACATGTACCTATTTACTTTTTGAGAAAAATTCAACAAAGAAGTCTTTACACATAACATATAACACAATGGCCGATTAGTTCCAAAGTGTAACAAAGAGTCATTTCCAAAAAGCCGGTTGTGAGGTTAAATGATACAAGTTAAAAGATCACGGCACAATGCCGCCCGTAACGACTTCATCATGCACGTTCCATGCATTAGAATTAACGCCGGCTACGTAAATAAATACGTACCAGTATTTTCCACTGCGAGAAATAGGAAATGACTTATCATTTGCGTTTTATTAATTTAAAATTAATAACATCATGATAAACATGTATGTAGTCGTATCGTGCTTAGGTATTCTATTAATGTCATTTTTATTAGTATGTAGATCTTTTTCCAAGGCACATAGAACCACATAGAGGACATCTGAAATACTCGTATAGCTTTCCTACCACCTTTTCGGGAGATCAGATATCGGCTGACGCTGAGAAAATGAAAAATGACGGATGGAAAGCCTCTTGTATATTACAGGAAACAAATACAAATGAATAGATATTAAATAGACCATAAATAGGTCGACTGTTGTCATTAAAATCCTCATGAACTTTACACACAGATGACTACACAGCATCCTTTTCTATGTATGTAATTTTTTATCGATTAAAATGACACAATGATTGATTTCAATGATTGTGCCGTGTGGGGACGGCCATNTATAGTGTATTCTAATCGTGCATTATTTAACGATCTCTGTGTTAGTGACATTTAGTTCATAGGAGTCATTGAATCCCCCTGGATCCCAGACACAAATCACCCACATCCGAATGTAGAGACATAAAACAATCGGGTTGACTGACCGCTGAACACTTATTTGACCATCAGAGACAATGGTATCTCCAGATATATCACATTATCTTGAAAGTGTTGATTACTCACTGATACCGTATCGCAGGTCCGGTATGAGTAAAGGAATTTATTGTGTAAAAGTCGCATTATATCAATTATGACACGTTAATCCGAATGAAGCAATGTTATTGCTAATTTTTACATTCGCATGTTTGCCTCGAAGCGTTAAGTAGTACCTAGACCTACTTATGGTCTAAAAATAAGAGTGTATAGAGTCACATATGAGTCTTATAAATAAGGGCTGTCTCTTTAATGATACTAGTACATATTCCTAAGTGTTATTTGATTTTCATTTCCATGCTTGTAGCCTTATTACTGTGTCAGCAATGTACGTACACAGAAACTATTTATATTATTTGGGTATTGCAGAATATCCTTGAATGTATACTATCCAGTACCTACTGCAACTGTAGTGACTTGTTTTGTTACAGTCGCTCTATAATTCATGTAAGCAGACGTTTGCCCTACATAATGAAAGAACATTTACAAACAAATACATATTGAGAACAATGTGTCCGTGCCAGGAAAAACCACGCAAAAATCGCATCTTTTCACTAAGTATTACAGTTACAGCTGAAATATTTTATTTTTCTTAATTTTAGCATAATAATTACAGATGATAGTTTTAAACTAAAACAATTGTGTTATTGTAAACATGTATGAATGACCTAACACACTAAATATAAGTGTAGTAAGTTGAACAAATTGTTTTGTATTGGTGAACACATTGTTTGGTAATTTTTATTGAACTTCGAACTGATGCCGCGTTTATCTGCGCCGTTAAATAAATAACATCATCATTTACATATAGAGGGAAATACTTTTTTGTTTATCTATGAATTTAAAAAGGTTTTTCTATCCTCCATTTTTTTTGTCTTTCTATTTTTAAACAAGCATAAAGCTACACAAGTCATGTTAGTTTTAATAAGGTTTCTTATTATTTTCATGCTACTTTGTATGGGACAGAAACCGGGAAATCCACCTGAAAGATTTAACAGTACATTAAATATAATAGCCACATATATTCTAAAAAGGAAACGTCAAAACCTCAAACTCTGGAATCTGAGAGAATTGACTTGATGACAGGTTTATGAGCTGCCAAAAAGGCGTTTGTTTATAATAGGTACGACTATCTATTTTTCAATACAAGTTGATTTACATGTTCCATAGGTATCTCCATAGTAAGTGCTATAAATGCAAGTGCATTTATAATCTGAAAAATCCAATTTCCCATAGATAGAACGGGTGAGATTAAATAAATTGATTGCTGTTAGATGCGCAAATCGTCCGGAACTGGATTGAACCCGGAACGATTAACTTACCCTTCAGAACTAGTTCCGTTAACATGTCCGCGGAACTAGATAGTTCCACCGATAAGAATAAGAACGTCTTTATTCAGCACAATGTGGCGGACAAAACAAGATTTTATCTCAAAAATAAAAATATGCTGAACAGGTATTTTTTTAGCTTTTTAGCTCAAAAAAAAATCGCGACATGACACAAACGTCATGGCGAGAAGCTGGTTTTCAGCGGGAACCAATGCGATAAATGTGCACCTTTTCAGTCATCGCGAAGTATTCGGTCTTAGTTCTCCACTGTACAAACAGTTCCTATACTTGATAGATGTAATGTAACATGTCAATAAAATCAATAAACCAAAAAGCTGCACATGGCTAATTGATGTATCAGTCCACAAGTGTACCGGCGCGTAATGCGGTTTGCGGCCGCGGGTCAAGGTTCTGTTCTCGATGCAGACTCGCTGCACCGCTAAGGGTGATGATGAGGCCTCGTTTTAAACATGGCTCATTTTTGTTGCAAAGTAACACTTATTGCAATTACATAAGAACCTACAGTGTTCAGGTTGATGTGCTGTCATCTGTACCTTCACAACATTACGAGCGAGTATTGCAAATATTACAATATCGCTTTTGAAATTATCGGAACTAGTTTGGTTGGTATTTTGGCCATCTTTGTTGCCTTTTAATGAGATAGATTATTTTAATTATAATAATTTATTTATCAAGCAACATGACATGACTCATTATTTGCATATAAACTTCAGTCAAATGTTACATCTGAATTCTGATCGTAAACTTAACGGAATTCAAAAATAGATAAATAACGAGAACTTACAAGGCGAAATATTTTGATACATGGGGGAGGCCTTTGTCCAGCGGTGGACGTCATTTGGCTGAAATGGACGAACAAAAATCGTCTTTGTCCATCTCTTTCAGTTATCTCCCCTATCCGTCCCCCGGACACGGCCTGAGCCGAGGTCCGAGCCTACCGTGGCGCCTTCAGGCCGCGTCCGTAGTCCCCTCGATCGGGCCCACTAGAGTGAGCTCGCCGTAAGCTGGACTTTGGTCCAACACCGCGGTGGGCAACCCTCTAGTTGGGTTCGCCACTGATCGGCCGCCTTATGCGCTCGATACGGCCCGATCGCGAACGTCGGTCTGCGACCGACGATCGCCAAACGGCTAGAGTACCTTCTGTACTCGCCACTCTGCCCGGTGAAGCTGGAAAAGCTCCTCAAGCTACCAGCGCGCGTCCCTTAAAAAAAACTCTTTCAGTTAAGTGAAAAGATGAATGGCAATCAGTAGCAAGTTCA